AGCCGATCTAGATTCGCTGGTGACGGGTAGCTTTATGGAGTGGTTTTTTGTATACCGAGATATTGCTAACCACACACCGGCGAAACAAGCGTACACCTTCGTACCACCACCAGATTATGTGTCGGTGCTTGGAGGCACTGAAAAATAAGTATACTGTATTGAAATACGCGAGAAGAACAATACAATTGTAAGAGATCCATAGAGATGGGCATGAATAATAAGTTGATTGCATACAGAGTGCCAAAGACCCTTATATTGGCGAGGAACGCCTCCAGTACGATGATGCTTTATGGTAATCTTGGCGCGACTGGTTTAGAACGACCCTCTGGAAGCTTCGAAGATTTAAATGGACCAAGATGGCGATTTCCAAGGCAACATAGACCGATTAGCCAATCGCCTTGCTAGGTTTGGGTCGTCTGTATGTTAGTATCCGTTTGTGTCCGGCTAGCAGGTAGGGAAGGCAATGGCGCTACTTTCCCAGGATCCAGTGACTTTAGTCTCTACGAGGAGGAAGTAGTTTCCTCAAGTAGGAGATGTAAATTTTATAGCTCCAGCGTTTTTCACTTTTTGCCTGTTTCGGGGAGTTCCATCTATACTTCGTTTCTGACTTCCATCTATACTTCGTTTCACCAGAAAGGGACACTGAAATTAGAAAAAAAGAAATTTCTTTAAGCGCCTAGATGGGACTTAATTTTTTACAATTATTTTTCCACGAAAAACATAACTTTTTATAGCAATGTTTACGTTGCGTGGACATGGCAGTTGCCGCAGAGGCGGCCACGAAAGATGCCACACAAATGGTATAGGCAGAGGGAGGACTACAGAAGATGACATCGAAAGGGAGCCGAACTTCTCAAATTCCAACTTCAAGCAAGGCCCAAGGGAGGTGAAAACATCGGAGCTCTGTTACCGTTTTGGAAGAGCCTCGCACCTACCCAGTCACTGCGGGTTTCCAAAAAAAAAAAAGAAGATATGTTTCCGCTGTGGCAAGGTTGGACATGTTGCGACACGTTGTACTTCACATAAGACAACATTGGGTGGAGAGGCCAACCCCTTTTTTGGAAAAGAGTCTGATGACGACGGTTGCATTGGTATCCTTTTCCCGCAACCGCATCAAGAGGGCACGATCAACCTAATGGCGTCAGTCCGGCGGCAGTTCACGTGAATCGGTGTTGACCTGCTCATGGAACTAAACATAGCATCCCCAAGTCTACGTCATCCGAAAAGAGTGTACGAAGAGAACAAAGCGAGCTGGCCTCGTTTGCAACACACCGCATTAAGCTTGTCATGCTACCTCGTCAAAGTTCCCATCATCGGGAAGTTGAGTTTGAAGATCCGTTACGAAGGACGTCAAGTGAACGCGGAGCTAACAGTTTTGGGATGCAACGGACCAAGTCTGGTTGGCCGCTACGTTAATCGGGCGTTCGGCTTCTTTTAGCTCAACTGTTGTCCTTGGAGACCGAACAACGTGGAGACTTGGATGAGTTAGGTCTTGGCAGAATACCAAAAACTCTTTAAACCAAGATTGCGTCTAATCAAAGGACCGGATGCACTCTAAAAAAAAAAGGTATCACCTTACACCCTTTTGTCCCATATAATACACCCCAAAACTTCATTTCGACATACAGCGCCCTATAGTCGAACAGACTACACCACATTTTACCAGGGGCTTGATAACGGTGCCATATAACTTATCAAATTTATGTAGTACCTATCAAAGACCAAAGAAAGAAAACACTGAGCTTTTGCAGTACGGCCACGAAAACTCCGATAATGCTTTTTTGTAGTCAATAATACGTACACCAGCTATCATAATAAGTTGTACCACACGGCTATCAAGCCCCTCGTAAACTTTGGGGCCGCCTGTTCGATTATGGGGCGCTGTACGTCGAATTGAAGTTTTGGGGTGTATTATATGGGACAAGGGGTGTGATAATACACCTTTTTTTCTGAGAGTGTGCACGCTTGCACGTGAACCCTGGAGCAACACGCAAATTCTGGAAGGCCAGACGTGTGGCGTACGATCTACGGCTGAAGGTGACCGAACAAATTGACCGCCTGGTGGAGAACGGTGTTCTCCGGCCTGTTTCCCATTCTGTCTGGGCGACTTCAGACGTACAAGTCGTAAAAAAAAACGGTTCCATAAGCTTGTGCGGTGATTTTAAGCTCACCTTAGACAAAAACTAGATTGTCGCATAGACGTTTTTCGTTCTCTTCCGTTCTCAGTCACGTGGGTTCCGTATCTGGTGTGCGGGATGTAAAATTAATAAAATATTTCAAGCTGGAATATGAGAGAAATTATATGTGTATGTCAAACAAGAATGTGTCACAAGCATTTTTTTCGTGAGCACCTTCCAGCGGCGTGGATAGATCGAAAAGAAGTTTTAATGCAAGCCAAAAGTGACGACATTCTAGATGGCAACGCCATTGTGTAAAAGGTGTATAGGTCAGGTGATCGACGTCAATTTCCCTGCTAAATTTAGCGGGGAAAATGAAGAGGTGTGTCGGTCACAGTACGTTAATTTTTCTGCTAAACTAAGAGAGGAAATTGACATCCCGTGACCTGATGTTCAACTTCAATTCAAATTCCTCGCCAAGTTTAGCGGAGAAACTGAATCGGTCTGCAGGTTTCTGATGTCCCATAATGCAACACTGCGCACGTTGCATTATGGGACATCACATACCTGCAGACCAATTCAACTTCCCCACTAAATTTAGCTCGATGACTGAATCGGTGTGTAGGTGTGTGACGTCCCATCATGCAACACTGCTCGCGTTGCATCATGGGACGTCACAGGCCACGGCTTCACGAAATGTGGCTTCACGTAAACCGGAGAAACTAACCAAAAAAAAAACGTTTCACGTTAAAACAAAGTACATAGGCAGTTGGCGAAATGTGGTGAAAGGGATGCTTAAGAGAGCGGGACACGGAAGATTCAAGCGAGGCGAAATTAAGTACGAAAGACACAAAGACCGCCTCGTTCGAAAAGATCTGTCCACAATAAAGACTGCCACCAGGAGACGGGGTATGGCTGGCCCAAGCCCCGTTCACGGTATCCGGCTGGAATTCGAGCAAGAAGAAAGGCACAGACGACTCAAAGGTCAGCTCGTACGAACACACCTCGCACATTGAGGCCTTCTATTAGGGGACGGTGTGTGAAGGCCCAAGTGTTAAGTAAACAACATGAAAAGTACTTGAAGTACTTTGGTATAGAGGAATGATACCCTTTCATACCCGAGTCGAGTTTTGATTCTTTTTTTTTTTTTTAACTGGTATGCACTGTCCCTGCTGCAATCGGGGGTGCATAAGTTATTTTCAGTACGTGGTTGGCGTGCATTGAATTGGAATTAAACCTTGAGAAAAACGAAATTAATGATATTTAGAGCAAAAAACATAAAATCATTAATCGAAAACTAAACATCCGATTTAGGAACACTGGAATTGGTTACGTTAAAACCCACTAGTTTCTATGAGTATTCTTTCAAGAAAATTTAAACTGGTCTTAGCATATTAATCGTATTCGACATGACATTTCACGGGCAATCGGCATTATAAGTAAGCTCAAATATATTCTTCCGGTTTGGTTAAAGCGCCAGCTCTTCTGCACTATTGTTCATACTCATTTAAACTATTGTAGTTTAGTGCGGGGTACTACATGCTCAGAGACCTGTGTATCTCAGCTACTTCTATTGCAAAAAGAGCGGTGCGGTCAATTGCGAGTGTATCATATCGGGAACAGTCCCATCCATATTTCATCAAATACGTACCCCCTTCTTACAGTAGAACAGTCACTCACTCAGAAATGGGCGATTTACAGGTTTCACAAAATTTAACTACACCCTGAGTTCGCGCAAAACAATTACACCAACAAGGCATCTACATGCACCTTCCGTCATACGCACTACCTACAGTCGAGAATACGCACTATGGTAGACAAAATATACTTAATCAGATCGCACAATTATTAAATAACCATCCTAAAATACTGTCCTTGATTAATAGCTCCAATACACGCATTTTAAACCACCTTAAAAAGCTTCCTTCTAGGTCTAACATAATCTATGTTGATATTTTGACGCGTTTCTGTTTTGTTAGATCACATTTTGTATATATCACTTTGTCTTTGTGTAATGGTGTAATTGTTTTTTACAATTACACCATCACACATTCAGGGGGACAAGACCTTGTCAGGCGACTCTAGTCGCCTTTGCCCTGCCCTCCGAGATGTTTGTCTGAATAAAGTAAATTTCGTTCAATTAAGAAGTACTTCCATCTTCTGAATTTTACGCCGCTTGCGGTCTTGCACCCAAGGGGGTTAAAGGTACCAGGAGAGAGCGTGACGTCAGCCCCGTAGCTTCCGCAACCTATCGACTCCGTGGGGATACTCCTCTCCCATTATTTTTAACCTCCTCATTTGGGCTGTCCGAACGAAGAGCAGCGAGAGTTCAGGTTCAAAGTACTGCGGGAAAGCCGTCCCCAGTACAAACAGAGCTATGCGTCGTCTGCTAGCATTTCTGGTAAGAATACCCCCCCCCCCTCCTTTCACCCTCAGTATTTCTTCAGAGTTGCCAAAGTATCATTGTATGATACAAATTTAGCAAGACCAAATTTGAGGAATGTACTTTAGAGTTTGGAGTCGGGAGTTGTACTTTCATTGGAAACTACCAGGAAAAAATGCTTTAAGTAAAGTACAAGTACATACTAAGAGAATGTAATTCAAGTAAAGTACACGTTTCTTTTAACCAACTTGAAGTAGTACTTTAAGTAACCGGTTTGAGTTGAGCTAGTTGGTACATGTCAATGAGGAAACAGCTTGAACACTAAACACTTACAAAGAGACAGTCCTGTCTTTGTGTAAGTGTTTGTGTTCAAGCTCTTTCCTCATAGACTTTAAGTACAATGTAAACACTTAAAAGCACTTTGCAACACTGGAAGGCCCAAACGCCATTTGAGGGATCGGGGTAAAATTCAAGCAAGAAAGCTACAGACGACGCAAAGGTCACCTTGTTCAAACTTATTACATTTCATTTCATTTATTTGATCCTTAACGTTCCTCTGGTGAGGGCATTACATTACACGCATCACCCTCGACGATGACTTCTACCCGGCGACAATGATATGGCAGGCCCGAGCTCCGTTTACGGGATCGGGCTGGCCTCGACGGCGAGACTCTCGATCCCGCACTCATCGGTGCCGCGAAGGATGCGGAAGTAGCCGTTCTCGCCCCAGCCGGGGCCCCACGAGTTCTTGACACTCCAGTACTTGAGACCCGTTTCCTTGTCCACCCCGTAGCCGGTCACGAGCACGGCATGGTTGGTCAGCTCGAAGGGATCGAAAGGCGAGCCCAGGTTCAGGCTGCGGTGAACGCCCGTGTGCCGGTACACGCCGCCCTGGTACATCTGGAAGTCAGGGTACACCTCAAAGCCCACGGCCACGGGACCACCGTGGACAAGGGCCAGGCGCATCAGCTCTTCGTTGCAGCTGTGAGGGAAGAGCGAAAACCTCCTATGGGGATCGAGTATTCACCGGCATCAGTAGCTTTGCGGTCAAGCGCGTGTTGATAGCGAGTGTTTGCCAGTCTCTTTTCACACATTCAAGCCTGCTCAAAGCAGACGATAGGTTGCTTTACTCACAACCAGGGCGGATAATAAAAATTCAAGATGATTAAAATCGCGATATAAATTGATTTAGATCCTCATTTAAATAAGACCGGATTTAAAGTGGTTAGTTAGATAAAACATATAACTGTCCACACCGATATAACGAAGTCAACGGGAATCGGAAAATCATTTTGATATATCCGCTATTTCGTTATAATCGACTTCGGTTATAACGAAGTGCAAAAGAGAAGGGGAAACCTGGATCGCTTCGCTGTAGCCGCTATTTTGTTATAACCGATTTCGTTATTTGACGCTCTATCTGTGCGTTTGTTCTTGTGATTATATCAAGGAATGATGAAGAAATAAAGATTTATATTAGGTTGAACACGAGCACACATTAGTGATCTTCCGGGCAAATTGGAACCTTGAGCTTTCTTTCTATTCGTTCGTCAGTTACGTCACGTGCTATTGCAAGTAACAACGCGAAAGAAAGAAACTAACACTAGAAAAGTAATGACCTTTTGCAAGAAAAGCAGAACGCAAAAAAAATGCAAATAAAGCTAACCTAACCTAACCGAAAACGTCAAGCTGTTTTTTTTTTTTTTTTTTGCTATGGACAAGTCAATAAAAAGTAGTTAATTAAACTAAACTTTAAATTTACAATATTTCATTTTTACATTGTATGCAGTGATTTGACGGATTGATTAATCAAACTTTCATGTTTAAAAATGCACCTAGTGATTAAAAATCACTGTGTTATTGCTACAGGCATTTAAATTAAATGAATCTGATTTAAATAAAATAATTCCGATTTAAACGAGAACTCCCATTATCTAAAACCTAAACTATTGCTATGTTCGCAGTAAAATATATCATCAACAACATTACCTGCGTTTGAAAAATTTCGTGAATATGAACAATTGCAAGAGCTAAAGGTGTAGTTAATTTGAAAACCCTAGTACATATACATCAAAATTTTCTCGCTGAAAACGTTTTGATTTTAGGGATATAGTTGAAGAGCTGTACGAAAAGAAGCAATAAAGCCCCTGTCCACTTTTCCTCTAATATCTTCTTAACATGACAACATTATCAAAATAACGTAATCTTTAACTGTCTTTTTAGAAAATGCGAACGAGAGAAACAATTGAGAGTTAGCGCCTACCTATCCGTGACGCTGTAATTATTCACAAACCTAAAAAATAAGTTATACCGAAGGAAAGAGTATTATATTATCTTCCAAATAAACCGCTGATTAAAAAAGAATTCAAACTGAAACGAGAAGCGAGCGGCCAAAGAGCACCTAATTTGTCAAAATCCGTGGGACCGTGACCTTGAAATGCGCGCGAGTGTGGACCGTTTGGAAGTGGACACGACTGTGCTGTTCCTCTGCAAGGCTCACCCTCCGTAATAGCCGCCAACGTAGCGGTAGTTGCCGACGTAATGCCTGGGACACGTCGTGTTGGTCTTGCAGGGCCCGTCTGAGCCCTGGTACGGGTTGCAGCTTTCCTCGACGACCCCAAAGTCCTGGCCGTATTTGCCTCCGATCAGGTACGGGAAGCCGCCCTCGCAACCTGAAAACGACGCGAGTGTGTTACCTAGAGCAATACCGGGTGTAGGGAAAGATTGTCCCAGGAAAAAAAAATGGCCCCAGAATAAACGGCCCCGGAAAAAGATGTCCCGGGCAAGTGGCAAGTAGGATAAAATGGTCCCAAAAAGTTCGAAAAGAAAAAGTCGCCATGAAATTCATTTTGAACTAGGAGATATACTTCGTTTCACCTTAGCATGGACTATTGTTAGCCGCGCGTGCTAAAAACTCCAGCTATTTTCTTTGGATGAAGCCGCGGCGGCTGCACGAGCTAGCGCTCGTGTAACGAGTGCTCTTGTAGTCAAGGCAGTCAAGGTATACCTGCTCGCTCTTGCACAGCGTTCGCAGTTAGTCCCCGCTAAGGTGAGACGGAGCACGGCCACTCGATTAGGACTCCCCTTGGACGGAGTATAGGAGGTATTCACTACACGGCCATATTTGAGAGAGATGTTTAGAGCGCATGCTCAGAACGAGCTCACACTAATAGCCTGCTAAGACCGGCAACCTTGATGGTGCTAAATGCACGCTCCAAAAGGACTGTGGAAGCTCGCCGTCGACACGTGCTCAGCAGCGGCGCACACGGATATGGCCGCCAGTGAATACTTCCTATAGTGGGTAGGCCCTAATTCTAGGTGTCTTGAGGTCTCCCCACTAGTTTTTTTATTGGACCAATCAGAACTCGGCGTCGTTCTGACGTCATCACCACTCCTGCGCAAGAAGCAGACGACTTGCTCTCCGCGTAATAACCTCGCAATTTTTTTTTTTTTTTTTTTCATCATAGTAACCGCATTCTGCTTTGAAATGCCGTCGTTTTATTTTATTGTGTAATGGAAAAAAACTGGGAGGTGCACTTTAACACGATGGCGTAAACATTCTCAGTACATGAAGAAAAAAAAAGAATTTAATGGGAGGGCCGACAGCACGCAGGAAGTTCTCAATCGCAGTCGTCCCAGCAGCATGCCCGTCACGAGGATTCTTGATGACGTCGTTGAATTTCGGTCAACATGCAATTTGTTTCATGGAACAAGCGCCGACTCTGTCCTGGACCATCTTCGCGGCTACGGTCCATTTTTTCTGAGCGTAAGGCGTCGATGGCCTTCGACCCCGTTGGATGACGGCTCATGACTGTAACAGGCAATGCTTTCATACCTCCTATTCCAAGCTTTTCGGCAGTGTCTCCAAGTGCATCTTCCCGTATTCTTTTCGTATTCTTATTGAAGAAATATTACAGCACTTTAAACCTAAGTGCCATTAGTGTAAATTGGAGATAATTTACAAAGTTTATCGTTCATTTCAAAATTGGTTCCATGGGAAATGTTTTTCTTTTTCTTTTTTTTTCATTCCAGCTTGGGACCATTTTTTTTCCGGGGCCATTCTTTTTGGAGGGGGGAGGGAAAGGGGGGGGGGGCGCTTTTTCGTGGGTCATTCCATTTAGAACACAAGGCCTGCTCTTTTGCCTCCTAGTACGTCATCACTATAGTGGGCCCACGCAGCACCGCCTAGCTCGCCTCAGCAAATGCCCGGATACATAGCGCAAGCTTATTTAATATAGGACGCAAATTATAGAAATTTGATTACTCATAACCCCCATATAGGTTTTTTTAATTGTTATTTGATTACTTATAAGTTATAACCATAGGGCTCTATGTTTTGGAGTTTATTTTTCGTCAAATTCGGAGGGTGTTTTTTGAAGTTTATTTATTGCCGAAGATTCGGAGTTTATCCGAGTTTATATTTTATCAGTTCCCAGTTCTCCGGAATTCTGAGCTTAATTTCGCTGTGTTTTCTATTAAAAATAAATAACTAAATAATAACCGAATGTAAACGTATGCCAGATAAAAATAAAACGCGCTTGTATCAATTGAAATATCTTCCGTTGAATTTGGTCTTGGCGCCATTGCCATTGGAAATACTAATTTATCCACGCCAGAAGTCACACAAAAGTGGCGCTTCGATAAACGCCTATACCTTAAAATCAATAAACTCCCGGAAGTAGTCGCCAGGAAGCTCGTAGTCATCCCATCCTATTCCATCAATCCAGCCCGCGGCCGCGCGAGGTGGAGTATTTAAGTAGGTAATAGAGAGTTTGAACTGCCCCTCTTCCCAGTTTTATACAATCCCTATGGTCCATAGCTTTCACTGTCACTAAAACATACCCTTTCGTTTCTCTAAATCATAAATCGCATGGCCCAAACTGGAAACCAAAAGAGTGGCGTTTGTTGTGCCCCGAATGTACAACGAACGACCTGTTGCCCCGAATCAACCTTGAAAAGACAAACGGCAAGACCCCTTCTGACAACGGTCCGAAATTCAAAAGAAAATTATGGTGGAATTTTCCCAGGACTATTGGCTCTGTGCTGATCAAACTGTAAAAAAAAAAAAAAATTATATTTGACCAAAATTTTACCGGTGGGTGTTTTTTGGAGTTTTTAGATCTGTCCGGAGGAAAACACGAAGCCCTAGTTATAAGCCGCGCTGGTCTGCTCCCGCCTCTACACTTTTGCGCGGCTTCGGAGAGAGGGCGCTAGTTACCTACCGAAGCATCCTAGACGCGCTCATTTTTTCGCTGGCGCCATCTCGGCCGCTTAACCCGAAGCGGGGAGCATCTCTTAGTCCCGGTTAGATCCCCTGGAGGTCGCCGTCTGTCTAGAGGTTTCGAAGCTTTCGATAGGGCTCACTTTCGAGCTCAAAGTCCAACCGTATGACCACGTGCAAATACAAGTTGACTATACACACCTTACTGTGATCGTTTTATTATTTTTTTTTTATCGTATACCTTGTTATTTTGTGACTCTTTGCGCGCCGAACCTTCAAGTCGAGTTTTCAAAGGGTTAGACCGAGCTAAAACAAACTAAACAACTAACAAAAAAGACAAAAAAAAAAAAAAACAGGTCCAAGCCGTTGGACCCAAAAGTAAACAAATAGTGCAAAAAAACGAAGTGTCTAGCGTTACGTCCGACGTAACCCAGGTTACGTCCAAATCTCCGCCTTCCCTAGGCTCACGGGGGAGAGAGAGGAGGTTAGGGGGGAGGGTTAGGTATACGTGTTTCAGTGCTCCGTCCGGACGTAAACCTAGCCAAAGCAAAAAAAAAAAAAAAAAAAAAGAAAAGAAACAAAAAAACGAGTGGTTAAGTTAGGCTACGCACGAACTAAAACAAAATACGCAACAAAACTGAAGCATAATTGCGAGCACGGTTTGACGCTTCCTACAAGGCGAAGCAATAAACTATTGCCGTTGTAGCCAAGCTTCTCGTGTTTGCCCTTTCGTCATTTGTCTGTTCGTGTGCGTACGTGTGTGAGTACCTGATCGTGTGTGTGTGTTTGATTGGGAAAATTACTGGAGAGAGAATATTCAATCTCCAGCTGATCAAAGATTCACAAGTCCACAGCAGACTATAGGATGAAGAAACTTATAGTCTGGCTTTTTGCGCGAAGACAGCGTTGCGCCTCATTTGCATTCAAATTGCGTGGCCTCGGGCAAAAAAAAAAAAAAGAAACGTCGGCACGTTTTTGCCTCCCACTGTTTCTCCCGTCACTCTCCTCGTCTCACCCCCATCCCTTCTCCTCCCTTTCCCCTAAGGATACTTAATAAGAGAGCTGGCAACATCCCCTTCGTGGGTATCTATACAAGAAACTAAAAGCTGCCAACGATCTTTATCTCCGAAGTTATGTAACGTGCGCAAGGAGGCATTAAAGGAGCGATCGTTGACATTTTTCTTCTAATGACGTAATTTTACCTCACGTCACGTGACTCCACGGTTTCACGCCATGGTGTCACGTGATCTGACATCACGGGACGTGGTCACGTGATGTCACGGCTTCAAGTAGTGGTGTCACGTCGCGCCACTTCAGGTGGTACAGTGCCCCGTGACATGGTGAGATTACGTGACCCGACGCCACCCTACACCACGACCCGACTCCCAACAGTGTACATGGCCCGTCGCGGGCCATGGTGTATGCGCGGACTGACGGACACATGGACGGAGAAATGTGTGGGAAGTGTTTCATTGAAGAACATTTCATTTTTTTTAAATAAATACCGCTTCCTTTCAGAAATACTGGTTTCTCTAAAGGCTTGTTTGAACACAATTGCACCAGCTTACGACCGAGTGCCCTAAAAGTTTCGAAGACCTCTTACGACGAAAGCAGAGAAGACACTGGCGCCGTCTATCGGGCAGTCGTGGAGCACTCAACATTTTCCTATGTTTCTAGTTTGTTTTGTTTTTTGGGGCCCTAAAATCTTTTTTACGATGTTATAAACGACCATTTCTCTAGATTGTATTCGTACATTTGATGCCGCAAATATCACAACAGCTTCGCTTTAGTGAAATGCAGTTCTTCTTCAGTGGGCCACCTCATAGATGGCGCAAGGGTGCCAGTCTGTTTTCTCGCCGTGAGATAGGACAAGAAGTTTGTCCTTTAGCAAACGCAAGTGTGCAAACGGGCCTTTGAAGGCCCGTTCACACTCTTGCGACCGAGTACGACTGAGAGAGACGAGATCTCTTACAACTTCTTAAATGTTTCTAGAATGAGGGAACACACTGACATTGTGGCGCCATCTATGCGGTGACCCTAGAACTGCATTTCACAAAAGCGAAGGTTTTGCGGGATTTCCGAGGTCAAATGTGCGTAATACCCATAGAAAGGCTCGTTTATAACATTAACAAAAGTTTTTCGAGCCAAAAAAGAAAGGATATTGCGCGAGAAATAAAAAAAAAAAAATATGCCGGACCGCCGAGTTTACACTGCTTCCCAATAGATGGCGCCAGTGTGTTCTCTGGTTTAAGAAGTTTTAAGGAACCCAGGTTTAAGAGGTCGCAAGCAGTCGCAAGAGTGTGAACGGGCCTTTGAGACGAAGCTGGCGAGCCTACCAGCAACCTCCAGCTAGAAGGGGGCGCTCACCCTGAGAGTAGGGCGAGCAGGAGACGACGTCTTGCGGCGAAAATATCTTCTGCACCCTGTTCTTGGTGGCGATGCGGAGCCGGGCCTCGAGCATGGCCATGGAGGCGAAGCTGTAGCAGCTCCCGCAGCTCGCTAAAGCAGGATAATAACAATGATAATAATCGTTATTTGCGACAAAGGTGTCCTTTGGTTGGCTCCTGGAGCCACTGAAGCCAGGGTCACACTGCTTATACATCATGCAGAGGGCACGCGGCGCTCGCTGCTGGCATGATGACAGAGGGATCCGCGGAGACGCCTGAAGGATGTTCCAAGCATATGTTTGCTTCGTACTGACAGTTTTTGTATGACCAATGTGGTAGGGCTGTTATACAAGAAATACGCAAGAAAGAGTGTCAGCAGGCTGCCTTTTTTAGAATGTATCAGCAGTATAACCACGTGCTTAAAGGACGCCGCCATTCGGGTGCTTAGTGCAAATTCGGTGCAATCGGCGGCTCTGCACCAAAAATACGGTGTCAACAACTTTACACAATATCGTCGTTTTTTTTCCCCTCTATTTGCGTACTGTCCTATTCAACATTTCTTGAGGAGAGATAAGCGTTCCCTGCGATTTCAGATAGAGCTTCAGATAGCTGTCCTTCTAGCGATGAAATTGGTGAACGGTCCGTATCGTGGTCGGTATACTACCGTGTAATTCTTTTGATAAGATGTAATTCGTTAAGCTGAAGTTTAGTTACATCACAACACTGGCGTCTGCTCCATTTAAAGGTAGGCCAGGCCGTATCTTACCCGAGGTCATCTTGAATGACTACAAAACGATTTTTAGTTTTATTGTAATTAATATGAAAAAAAAATGCATACTCCAAAGTAGCTTTGCTAAGATATTCGCTGGGTTCTTGGAGATTCTGAGGCAATCTATTAACGTCGTAGGTTAATTAGTTAATTGTATAATTACGGAGGAGTCGACCACCTCTCCAGCGTTTGCTCTGCTAAAGTAGAAAGATGTGGGAGGCTCCAGTTTTCCCTTAACTCTTGACCTGTCCCCGACTATAGTTACCCACCTTGGTTCCGGACAGGGGACACGTAGTTAACGCCGCTCACGTTCCTCCAGTCGAACTCCTCGGGCAGGGCCTGGGCCTCTCGCCGCTGTTCTTCGGTCACCTTGGCAGCACCAGGACTCCTGCGGCAAAATTGTACGCGTGTTGTTTGTTTGTTAATTTGTCTATTTAGACAGCGGGAAATTAATATCCGTTCACATACTTGCGTTTGGTTACGACGGAGCTTTTGTGATCTATTACGACGAGAACACATACAATCAATGAAGCGGTAACATGTATTTTTTTTCTTTGCTGCAACTCTTCTCCGCCTCGTTTTGGCGTCTCGCTTATGCTCCTTACGTTCTTACCAAGTTAGCATTGCCATAAAAACCTCACTATATATACGTTTGCGAGAGGTCGCGCTTCGAGAGCTAGTCTGGCCACCGTGGGTGGAAAACGCTTCGTTTGGGCGCCAGTCTGGAAACCGTGGGTACGCCTCAGCAATGCTTGATTTATCAGACGATCTATCCCCACCAGCAGCAAGATGGCGGCACCCGGAGGCTGTACTCGAAAACGTTTATAAAAAGGGAAAGGCGATTCCAGTCAGAAGGAGTTTTGGGACGAAAGAACCGTAAGGAGAGGTAGCGTTTCTTCCGGGTATGCCAACGTTATAGTTATGGTTGAGGCGTGAAGATACGTGGGTCCGATCATTGATTAGTTGATTCTTTAGACTGGAATTATCGTAATAGATTTTACCAACTAAACAGCTAGAGGTGTGAGATTAGTCGAAAAGCGGTGAGCGGGGGGGGGGGGGGGGGGGTAATTAGAGATTCTATTGACTTGACACTTGGCTTACATACATAGACAGCCCAAGGAAGCTTCAGTAGCCAGGAGCTGGGACGCCGCGACGCCAGCGACACTCGCGTTCGTTCGAACTTTTTGCCGGGTCTTCCCAACCGCCAGGATCGCGACACCCGCCAATTCATTGCCACTCATACGGTAAAGTTCGGGACCCCACTTTTTATGTACACGCGGGTGAAATCAGGACGCTAAAACACACCAGTCGATCGCAGACGCGTTCCAGGCGCCGACAGCTCCACTCACCGTAGGTGCTTGTTGCGATGTCCTCCGCGGAGCATCATCATTTCGTCCAGAGTCTTCTCCTTGAACTGTGGGTGAACCTTAGCCTTCCAGGAGTTCTGCGCTGCGTTGATGAGCTGCGCGAACACTTCGGTGTTGTAGGGGTCCCGGGTGGCGCCGAGCCTGTGAGGGAACCACAGACTGCACGCGTCAGCCTCAAAGAACCAGCTGCAGAGACTGTCCGAGGCATGCTTCTTCTTTGTATGGCGACCCTGTCACTGCCTGCAAATATCTTCGAGACATACAAATGTGGGAAGTAAAGATGCTTCAAGCAAGCTTGAGGTGTGTCCCCAGATCATTTTGTCTACATGTCCGCAGCGACCACCCTGGGTTTTGTACGATGTACGAAAAGCGTGACTGTTGCTTTATGGGACGATGAAGCTGCATCGTAGAAGACACTGCATTCGTGACCTAATCGGATGCGTCTAATAACATCAATGGTGAGAGATGACTAGTTGGTACATCGTTCCTTTTGACAAAGGCGCTACAAGGCAAGGACGTCAAGTATAAGAGACAGAGCAGAAGCACTGTGCTGTGTCTCTTACATTGTATACACGTCTTGTGGCGCTTTTGTCAAAAGGTCTTATGACAAGCACGATAAACATATACGTTCATACTTCTGAAAAGGCTCAGCGAAATGCTTTATAACTTCAACAACATACTCGTCCAAGCGTCTATGGATGTGCATCGTCACGGCGCTGGTCTCCTTTAAGCGTTTGCCGCCGGAACCGGCTAAACCTAAAGTCCCTAAATAAGAGCTTCCTACAAGTAGTGACATTCTTTGAAGCGCCGACTGCGTGACGTTTTAGGAACCGAATGGCGGCGCACAGCAGAGGTTTGAACTGAATGCCTCCATTTTGTTTCAGCGGAATGTGCTTTGTCATTTATTGGTTGTCGTTACTTGTAAAATGAAGGATCAAGGGGCTTTAGTCCGACATGGGTCCGACTTCTGGTAACTGCATACTCGGTAGAGACAAGCTACTGGCACACGAGGGAAAGGATCACCGCACAGGTAAGTTTTGTTGCGACACGTCGGAAATAAAAACCGACGTTTATATTTAACAAAAAAAACGAGATGGCTCACTTATCGTGGCCCACCACCCAGCGCAGTACCGGGCGTGTCGTGGCTGAGAGCAACTCAGAACACTGTGTGGTCACCGACAACTCAAGAAATGTGGGACGTGGCATGGTCTTGCGCATCTCATTATCGCTTCGCGCAGTCATTGAGGTTGCAGTATTCCCAGGTAAGAAAGTTCAAGAACCAATCGGTAGCAAGGAGCGTGAATTAACGTAAGAAACCACGACGTGTGTTTCTTAAAAGGTCACTTGCTATGAGCTCGAGCATGCGCCACCAATCAGGTTCCGCTCAGTGAGATAAGATCTAAAGAAGAGGATCCGCCCACACGAAGAAAGGGCCCCTGTGCTCCGGTGACTCTCTATCGGTTAAATACCGCCGAGTGACAGGTGCAAAACTGCATTGGCCTCAAAATTTCCTAGAATATCACTTGAATCTCAAAGCAAATATAGATACTGTTTCTATAATCGCATATTTTCTTGTTCTGATGTATCGTTCTTTAGAAAAAAAAAAATGGGGAGTTCTTTTTTTTTTTTTTTTTGTAGTGGTTTTTATTTTAGGGAGTTTGAGGGGCGGAGATTTTCTTGCGGACGATAGTGCTACTACAGACAATGGTGTGGTGATAAAGATACCCAACTCAAACAATGACCGGAACAAAGCACACGTTCTAAGTAATGCCAATTCAGGTATACCTGGCCGATAACATTAATGGCACGAGGTAAAATAAACGGCATGTGACAGCTTGTTCTGGCCACTAGTTGTGGATGTTAACGCTGTTCTATTTTCTCGTGCATATCTGGAAAAAGATTAGCGCGTGAAAAATGGTGTGTTCTTGTTGAGTAGTGGTTTTTATCTCGGGGAGTTTGAGGGGCGGAGATTTTCGTGCAGCCGATAGTGTTTCTACAAATATGGTATGGCGATAAAGAAAGTCGAACTCGTACAGTGCTCGAAAGAAAGCACGTGTTCTGAGCAATGCCAATTCAGGTATACCTGGCTGATAACATTAAGTGAAAAGTAAATAGCACGTGTCAGCTTGTTCTTTGTTGAGAATGTTAACGCTGTTCTATTTTTTCCTGTATTTCCTACAAAAGTTAGCCCCTGTGTTATGAACATCAGTGATTATGCGTCCCGGCAGTTTTAGCTAAATCGAGAAAAACATCTTCCCTTCACCATCGCAATTCGTTAAATACGTTCTCTGAACTCACTGTACGTTTGTGGTACAAATATTGAAAGCAACTCGATTTGTGTGAGAAGCGCATATAATGGCCGCAGTAGTACAAAAGACTAAGGGCACAGGCGAGCTGGTAATAGCTAATCATGTCGTTTAACACCCGAGGCTGGGGTACAGAAAAAGAAAAACGTTTAGTCGAAGGAACAGACGTAGAAAAACAACAACAACAACAACAAAGTTTTGAACATGAAGTCGTTTGGGGCTACTTTGATAATGTTAGTGTATATATTTGACCTAGCATTTTCTTCTGGTGTTTTTCCTAAAGCAATGCAGTGTGCTAAGGTTGTCGCTTTGTTTAAAGGTGGGGACAATAATGCGTTTAAAAACTACATACCTATTTCTCTTTTATCCATTTTTTCTAAAGGTCTTGAGAAAATCATTCATAAAAGACAATAGTTATCTAGAAAAATTTTCAGTAATTCCTAATAGTCAGCACGGTTTCCAAAAACATCGCTCAACTGAATCAGCACTGTTAGTACAAAAGCAACAAATTATAGAATGGTTTGAGAATGAAGAACTCATCATGGGTGTATATATTGACTTCTCCAAAGCGTTCGATTTAATTAATCACAAAATTTTGTTCATGAAGCTAGAAAGTTACGGTATACGGGGAACGGCTCTAGACCTATTTAAGTCTTACCTAAGTACCGTATGCAGTTCGTTAATAATAATAACTATATTTCAACCATTAAAAAAATTAGAACTGGTGTACCTCAGGGTAGTGTGCTCGGGCCACTCTTGTTTATAATGTTCATAAATGACATTGAAAATTGCGTACAGCATCGAAACCTTGTGTCTTATGCCGATGATACGACTATTTTTATTAAAGGCGGCTCAGCAGATGATATAGAAAGGAAAACAATAGGAGTTCTTTCAAACATTGACTTGTGGAACAAAGTAAATGGACTAAAAATAAATTCTGAAAAGACTAAATGTGTGCTATTTCGACCTTAAAGTAGACAATTATCTTATTCGTTTCAAATAACCTTAGGCTCATCAACACTAGAGGTGGTAAAGTCGGTAAAAACACTGGGTGTACTTTTCACTGAATCATTATCATGAAATGAGGACGTTGAATATGTCCATACAAAAGCTAGTAAATCTATTGGTCTCCTTTGTATAAACCGTTATGTCTTTCCAACAGGCGTAAAATTGCTTTTATATTACTTTTTTGTTTATACTCATTATGTATATTGTCAATTAGTTTGGGGCCAAACAAATAAAAAACATTATAACTTAACAAGACTACTACTAACCCAAAAGAGGGCTATTCGAATTGTTTCAAATGTTTCTTTTTTGCATCCATCTGAGGAACTATTTTTCAAAAATCGTGTAATTCCTATTGAACAGCTGCACACGTTTTGGTTGTTGGTGACTAATAATGTAGCCTTAAAACACAACAATACTTTTTTTTTCACTTCTGCCCTGCCATGTTTAACTAAGTTAGATCATAAATACGTTACCCGCCATGGCGAGACCTGGAATGTTTCAACACCCCGTACTAATTAAGTTTTATATTATTAAAGTATGTGTTGCCATCTTTACTAAATGACTTGAAGCAAATGATGTGTGTATATTTGGAAAGTCAAATCGAATGTTAGCGGACATACTACTATAATCCCATTTTCTATATGATACTGTGTAGTGTCACGCATGAGTTCTGAAATTGTTGCTATCTGAGTGGCATATGTCTTTTAGTTATCTATCTATATAAACAAGTATAATGGTCGGAGTGGTGTGCTGGTGTGCATTTTGATTTTTTGGGTCTAGTGTATTTTTATTTTACGCAGTTTTTTTCGCCAAGGTGTGTAGGGGAACTAGGGCCTCGTCAAGCTGCAGTAGCAACTTTTTGCCCTCTTTTCCACCTTCTTTCGTTTTGTAATGAAAAAAGGAAAATAAATGATGTTGATGATGATGATGATGATGATGATTGTTATTATTATTATTATTAAATTGGTCCAGGCGAAATTGTGTTATTCCCTTCTGACTACTGCATGCATAGTTCACGGGTAGTGCGCGGCAATAAAATCTCTTTGGTTCGTCACGATTTGCAACAGTTAAACAAATGGGTGCAGTTTTTTATGCAAAAAGTTTAAGCTTCTAATTTCTCGCATAGGGTATATCAAATTGATAAAGCAGGAGTCAGATTGTCCTTTACGTTCGTCAGTCCCTCGATCCTACGTGCAGTTTCGTCATTCAAAATGCGCCCAGGGTAACAAGACACTTGCTCTTCATGTCTGCCGACTTGAAGCGGCTTCTCTCCCAGACCATCATCCTTGCGACCCTCGAAGCAGGCCCAGTTGTGTCCAAGGACGTCGTGTGACCAGCCCACCTTGGTGCTGCCACAGTAGCTGACCACCCTGCCGTGTCCGTCGTCCGTGTAGTTTGAGAAGGCGAAGTACCTGCGAGGATGCCAGTGCCCCTGCCGTCAAAGATTCTTCGTGTCTGTTTGAAGCGCTCCTGAAACACTTTCCAAAAGTGAAGCAATGGAGGCAGCCTACGAACGCCTACTGGACTTCATGGAACGTTGGCACATCCTATGGATGTCTGTAGAACTATGTGTGCTGCAAGGACATCGATGTCCCAGCACATTTATACATCTTTGGAACCATGCATCATCGTTCTGTGGTGAATACGATGTCCTATGCACAGTAGGCTATCCACTGAACTTTAGGAGATCCCGAGGACGTCTGCTGACTCACGTCTGCAGCCAGGGCACTGATGTCCTAACACACCCATACATCTTTGAAATCATGCACCATAGTCTATGGTGCATACGATGTCTTATGCCCCATAGGATATTCGTGAATCGTTAGGACATTATGAGGACAACTGCAGCACCATATGTGCTGTCAGGGCACACATGAGCGCATTCCTAAGACATCTTTCTAACTGTGCATCACAGTTATACGGTGTATACGAAGTCATATGACTTACAGGACATCCGCGGAAGGGCTAGGAAATGCAGAGGACATCCACGAATTATGTTTTATTCCAGGGAACGTGCAGAATAAGTGCAATCATTTTGTTTCTTGGTACTGAAAGAACAACACCGAAGCTTAGGTGTGATATGGTGGAAAGTAGGGCGAGTTGGTGGTGCATGTTTAACGAAAAAGTAATACAGCGACAAAAAACGGAGGACAAGAAGACAAAATGTAAAAACAGAGGGCTGACTCTCAACTGATTAGTGGAAGAAAACACAAATAGACAGTCATCACGGATCATCAAAAAACATCAAGTTATCGCCCCCCCCCCCCACGTGTCAAACCTGCTCAAGAATGCCAAGTCTTTAAGGTGTATCCACACGACGGACCGGGCCGCGGACCGATTGATCACGTGATGCACGGCCCGCGGGCCGCCCGGCTGCGATGAGCATCCACACGGCGGACCAAAAGAGCAGACGACAAAGCGAACGGGCCGGTCTAACCCTCGACCTCACAGCTCCGCCAAACGCATGCAGCGAGCTGCTTTAAGGCTATTTCTAAGGAGCCAAGATGGAGGTTGAACGAAAGAGACGTTTGGCCGCGGTGGCCCTGGCGTTGAATGTTGAGGACGAGGACGACTTAAGTGAACTGAAAAAGGCATGGGGACATCTTTAGATGATTATTTGGGTAGTCGTCGCGACTATTGTCCGACGGAGCGGGGAATTGATCCATGAGCGCGATGAAGTAAAACGTTGCATCGTCGCAAAACAAATGGTTCGTCTACTTCGTCTTCCACAATTGGCGCCAAAAGAACACGACTTTGGATTTGGATTCCAATCCAAACAACAAAAGTCAGCTTGTTGCCAGACTTAGCGCTTCAATTATACTAAAAACGCCGCGGTCCGCCGCCAAGGTCCGGGCGAGAAAAGTCGATTGGCATTTCTCACAAGCGTGGGCCGCGGACCGCCGGCGGACCTCAAAAACCGGTGACGTAAGATCACGTGATGCGCGGCCCGCGGATCAAAAGAGCAATTTGGTCCGTCGTGTGGATACACCTTTAGGGACCTTTAGCATACCGTTGCCGTGCTCCACGTACCGCACTACCGGAGCCTGAAGCATGCTTCTAAGCGCGCGCCCGCGTGGTACCGGGACCGCAGGGCGCGCGCTTAAAAGCATGCTTCAAAGGCTCCGGTAATGCGGTACGCCAAACACAACAACGGTTTGCTAAAGGTCCCTTTCATCAAGTAATGCGATAAAAAGCAAACTAACGCCCCCTTTCTTTCTTTCTTTTTTGCTTCAAAATATAAAAGTCCTTTAAGATTTTTCTAGTCATCTCTTGACTGTTTCGTCCTAAGAGACTTGTTTTATCAAGAACGGGTTTGCAACCTCATATATCACGGTGTACAGCTAGGTTGTCTGCTGGCGATGATCTAACCGATAGAGCATGCTCATCTTAACCTCTCGTTCACACATCTGGCGGTCTGCCCAATGTAAACATTTCCACAAGACAATGTAATGTTGTAAACTACACCGACAGCGCACAGCACGTACATTACACTGTGGTTCTTTCCACACACAGGACTATTAACCCTACGCCTGTCGACTTTAGCGCAAAGACGCCCTAACTTCGACGGCGTCGAAAAAACATCTGGCACTCCATGACGTTGCGCTACTTTTTTTAGGTTGTGCGAGACCGTACGCACACAATGTAAAACACAGGTCTCCTCAGGCTTTCTGCTAAACCAGTCAGCAAGCCACCGTCCTGAACCCCTGTAGCCTGATCAGCAAAGCTAGTAGGCATACGGTGTGGACATGACTTCACCAGTGTCTTCCAAAGGCAACCCACCGCAATCCCCCGCTTCACCAGATTAGAATTGTTGGAGTCAAAGGGGAGAACATTTTATTTGCTCCTAGGGTTATAGCCCCAGCACACATGTCCATCCAAAAAGTTAAGTTTGATATCTAAAAGCTTTAAACAACTGCCTACTGGGTCTTCTCTCGTGAACCTCAACCCACAGGCATGCGATTTAAACACCTCTAACATACTCCGAATAAAACCCCTCTACTTCGAACAGAACCTTTGTTCCGGAACGGCACCAGGTAATCAACCGGTAATCACCCGGATCACATCACCACCAAGATCGCTTGCAATCGCCGTTTGAAAGAAAAATGTAGCTCAGCACAGGGGCAACGCTAGGCCCAATACAAGCTCCCTGCTTCTGCAAAAACTGGGAACCGTCGTAGACAACGTACGTTGACTTGAGATAAAAAAAAATACAGCACCTCTAAAAATCATTAACGCTCACTCAACAGGCATTTTGAAACGAAACTGTCCCGCAAGCCTCAATGCACCCCTTTACCGCAATGATTATCTCTTGTTGAGGTATGGAATCGAACAGATCCTTGACGTCAAAAGACACTGTATCACACGTGGCCGGGTTCCCCTCCCTCAGGAAATCAACAACGCTCGCTGAACTGCAAACTGAAACCAAACAAATTAAATAGTCCTGCTCCAACGTTTACATCGGACAGACCGGGAGATGTGTGAACGAGAGGCTGAGAGAGCATCCACTATTGGTTAGATCATCGCCAGCAGGCAACTTGGCAGTACACTGGTTGCAAACAACCCGTTCTTGATAAAACCACGACACAGTCAACATATGACTAGAGAAATTTTAGAGGCCTTTGATATTTCGAAGCAAAAAGAAGGGTGCGTCAGTTCGCCTTCTACCGCATTAATTGACAAAGAGTTGGCATTCTTGAGCAGTATTGACACGTGTGGGGAACGGTGACTTGGTGGGGTTTTTTTTTTTTTTTTTATGATCCGTGATCCTTGTCGAGTTGTGTTTTCTTTCAAAAAATCAGTTGAAAGTCAGCGCTCTGTTTGTACACTTTGTATTCTTGTCCTCAGTTTTTTTTTAAGCTGTTTTATTTATTTTTTTGTTAAACAAGAAGCTTCATTGGACTAATAGGACGTCATTCCGTCGTTTTGCTGGACATATCTGACATCCGATAATTGGCTTCTCAGAACGAGGAGGTCGGTTACATGGAAAAGAACACCGCGAAACACATCCCCGCATTTACTATCACGTGACAGTGTGATAATCGATCTGATATTACCAGCGGTTTTATTACGGGTCACTAAATATCCAATCAAAGAGCACCAGAAAGTTCTGGTACACATGCTGCAACAAAATATAATTCGTTCGTTGGAACAAATTTAAGTAAGACCAACATTGTCTCCTTCATTCCTGAAAGGTCACTTTAGTGATAAATGCTTCTGAAGCCTCACCTTCGGTATTGCAGAGTCACCTCGAAGCCCTGATTGTAGATGAGGGTCCAGGTCCCAACGTTACCATCGGAATCCGTAACCAAGTTGGGGAAATCAAGGAGCAGCCGCACTTTTCTGGTCTCGCCACCAGCGACTTCTGGGCAAAATGCGCAGGAAGTACATCCGCTTACTCCACACAAGACAAACAAGTTGTAGCATGTTGGTCAGAAACGTCAGCGTCTCTTTGGTCCTCAAACGACTGAGCGACGCAGCGAGGACAGATTTTATTTTTCCTATAAATTTCGGGAACCGCTGAAAGCTGCGGAGATTGCTCACTTTTCATACTATACCGGGCGTCCGCGAGAAAACCGAACCCTGTTTTTCGCAGCGCAAAAATAAATTAGACATTACGGAGAGCTTAAACTCCGTCAGAACGTAGACCCAGCCGTTCGATAAAGATGCCAAAGTTTCAGCAGCAACCGTTAACTTATTTATTTATTTATTTATTTATTACAATACCCTCAGGGCCAAAAGGCATTACAGAGGGGGTGGGGCAACCAAAAAATGAAAAAAAAAGGGTACAAAAAGAGAGCAAATACAGCCGAGAATAAACATCAACAGCTCGAAACACAGCACTCTGGTCAAAAAAATAAACAAAAGGACAATCACGACAAAAGATGAGCAGATAAGGTTTTTTTAAATAAATCAATTGAAACGAAGCGGGAAGGTGGTTCCACTCAAGAGATGTTTTTGGAATAAACGCGTTCAAAAGTTATGAACGATTTTCTGAAAATTTCAATGAACAAATGGCGGCCGACGGAGCACTCAAATACATAGAGCTCTATGGCGCCAGAAACCGAAAACGGGCAAAAACGGGCCCAGTTTTCCTATTGAAAATTTCAGAAAACCACTTAGAACTTTAGAATGAGATAACGGTTGGTGCTGAAACTTTGGCATCTCGCTCGAACGGCTGGGGCTACGTTGTGACGGAGTTTGAGCTCTCCGGGATGTCTAGTTTATATTTGCGGTGCGAAAGAAAGTGTTCGGTTTTCTCGCGGATGCCCTGTACTTCTCTACGCACTATACCTCACCCTACCGTGGACTACAGCAGAAGTTGCAATCACCAGAAACGACAACATGGTCAGATTGACCATGGGTTCAAACACTCTCTTCGCGTGGACAATGGTTATTGGTGTTCAGCATATCCCTGGACTGATCAAGCAAACGAGAACTTCCAGATAAATTGACATCTTGAAATCCGAGCATAACGCCATGGACCGTGCGATGAGAACCATTTGAAATGCACCCAACTCAAGCATATGCGGGCATATGTGGTTTTTGAGCCCCGACACTGCTACCCCGAAAAAAGACATAAGCTGCCGGCGTCTGTCTAGAACAAAAGCGATTTGAGAGCACGTGATGCCGGTTTTAAATGATCAACCTTATATGGTTCATTATGTCATTACATATATTCAACCATTGCTTTCAAGACTGCGAGCACCTCTAATTACGCCATTCACTTCTAACTCATCAGAACAAAAAACGGTCCAGTGTTCCTCGGAGCCTTTTACTACGGTGCCGTGCGTGCAATACGTCTCTAACTGGTGTGTTAAGCGTCCTATGCGGAACGCAAGTTCGTCTGCTTTTTGCACAGAGGTTGCGCTAATGTCCGAACGCCAAGCGCTTATTGGCTGATCGAAAAAAATAAGTGGGTAGACCTCAAGGCATCTAGCATCGAGGTCTACCCACAATCCTTTCAGTCAAAGCCAATCGGAGCTCGGTGTCGTTCTGACGTCACAACAACTCCCTGCAAGAAGCAAACGACTTGCTCTCCGCATTCTGCCCATGTATCGATAGTGGTACCGATGTGGTAACAAGTGACGTCACAAAAACCGGAGTTTCCTGTTGTCGGATGTCGCGATCCTGGCGGTTGGTGGTAGAAATTATGGCGAAAAGCAGGAGCGAACGTCGGTGTCGATGTGGTTATAGCGTCACAACAGCTCCTGGTTGCCGAAGCTTCCGCGGACTGAGACAAGCTGAAGAGCAACCTGCAGGAGGACAGGCGTCTGCCACATATACCCCCGGTCCTGTGACGCCGCCAGGATCGCGGCCGGCGACAGTATGACGAGTCTATGACGTCATCAGGCGGAAAACGAGGGGACTACTTTTTGGGACGCGGACGACAACCCAGTCGGAGAGACGCGTTGCAGGCACACTTTTACGAAAGACGAAAACCGAAGGGGTACTGAAGATGAACAGTAGCTCGTAATCTCACAGGCGGAGGATATGCGACCATGGGATCCGCAAAGCAATCCCAGGTTGCTTAAAAGTCGGAACTGCTTCAACGCGATAAGCACAAAGCTGCAAGAAAGGCGCCCCTCATATCGTGCTTTTAGCACACCGCGTATTAACAAAAGAAAAAAATGTTATTAGACATTATTTAACTCATTCGGATACATTTCGAAGGAACAACCATCCGGACAAAGTTGATGGACCCAATTAAGCATTGCCAAAAGAGCAGCGGCTTTCGTCGTCTTTGCGCGTTTGCTATCAGCTGCAGAAAAAAACATTTCGACCACCGACCTGACTTCCAGTTGTCGCATCGAACGTCTTTCGTGCCAGTACGTGGTCCTTCCACGAAGGTCCACCAGCCCCGGATGTCCTCGTAAGTGCAGTTAGACGGAGTGTCGGCCGCCACCAGCCCCAGGCAGAGCGGCAGCAGCAGCAGAAAAGCGGGAACAGTGAACATGCTGCGCGGGCGATGTCTTCTGCTCGAATAACCTCACGAGTCCCTCGCCGCCGTCGCCGAGCTCGACTCTTTATTCCGTTTCACCTTATGCGATGGACCGCAGGGGACACTGTACGCCCCTTCCAAGCCAATCCCCTGACGCGTGAGCGTCACGTGACGACGAGCTTCACCGACATCCCCTAGATTACTACAAGGCCGTGATGCTGTACCACTTAGACGACAAGGCTCGCGCCTTACCCCCCTCACACGTCATCACTCGCGAACCGGCGGAGCGCCACCACAGCTTGCGCCAGCATCGTCGCCAGCGTTCCTCGCAGCGTCTAGCGACGAGCGCGACGCTATCCATCAGCGTTCGGTTGAGGCTCGCCTCCAATCAGTGAGGACACGACTTTCAGCTGAATGCTGACGTAAGCACTCGGCTCCAATCCGTGCCCCGCGATTTTCCCCATATAGCTGATGCTGAAATATTCGGTTCGTGTGCCTCGTCAATCATGTGGCCCCGCGCATCACTGCGTCCTCCCATAGATCAGGTAATACTCTCGCACGATAGGGGATTGGCGTAGAGGGCTCATAGCTTCCTCTGCGGTTCGTATAGTAAGGCGGAACGGAGTGTATCTCGCACCCTACACCGCCGCCGTGGACCGCGCATATCGGCCCGATACGGGCTGGGGCTATCTCTCTCACGAGGGCTCTTGAAACTCGAGCGGTTCGTGGGCCCGCTTGCCTGTGGAATAGAAACCGATACCTAGCCCCTTTCGCGTCATTTCCAGACAAGGAACGAAAAGCAAACAAAGGGTCTCCTCCACGGATTCCCGCAAACAGACAACGCGATAACGAGATGAACGTATGACGTTTGAAGCGAAATGTGTGTCGGCCTTCCCTTTTGGTGCATGAATGGCTCCGCCACGTCAGGACTAGACGGCCTCGAAATTATGGTGCCTGGAGCGCGTTTCGTACTTCTGTGTTTACCCCGCTTAAAAAAAAAAAAAAATGTTGTCTTTTGATTTTTGCTTTGTGACATCGTAGAAGTCTCATGCTATCACCGGTCGCGACCCTGGATGCGTCCCAAGAGCGGTAGTTGATGTGGCAGACGCCCGATTTGATGCGGGTCGCTCTCCAGCTTTAGAGTCTACGGAGGCTTAGGCAAACTAATAGCGAGTTCGTTTCACGGCACTCGTGCCCACGCGTGCCCACTCGCAGCGTGGAACGGGTTCGTTTCGGCCGGCACTCCACGAGTGGTTGCACTCTCCGAGTTCGTTTCAACGCTGACACCCCACGCGTGCATGCACTCGCTGCACCGAGAAAATCGGGAGTGCGCCAAAATGCAATCCCGTCATGCCTCGCTCCGGCGGGGCCGGCGAGGACGAGCGGGAGCAGACGACGAGGGTTCGTCTGCTGCGATGTGTCGCGGAACCGAACGGAAAAAAAAGTAGATTTTCTGATAGAAATCGCGTCCCGCGGGAAACGAAATCAAACGCGAGCTTGAATTGTGAGCGTCTGCTATTTCACGGAGGAAGCAATTGACAACCCGTGATTTATTTGCAGGTTTTAAATCGCTCTGTTGCCGTACAAACGCTGTAATATACCAGTGTGTAAGGAAATGCTCAGAACAAACGCAACAGCGGCCCCCGAGATGTCGATCACCATCCGTGTGCGGGTGAAAAATTTAACATTTGTCGATAAAACTCCCCCAGCACCAGCAGAAACCTCTGACTGCCCAATAAGCATCAGAGAAAACTAAAGATGGTGGCTTTACCCGAGGATTGGGCAACATCATCATGTTTAACATTTACCTACGCAGCTAACTTGCCCCGTCGTATTTTGTTCGAGAAAGCTCTCGTTCTCGACGCCCTCACCAAGGCTAATATCTAATCCACCTGATGACGATCCAAATCGAAAGTCCCAGTTTTGCTGGATATTCCAACAGGCTAGTTTTAAGCCGTAGCCTTTCAGTGGTTCACGCATAATACCATGCTCAAACGGATCAAGCTTCTGCTCGGACAGCATCATCAGTTTTCTTCAGTGTAAACGGTTATAAGGATTGAAAGATCGCAACCAGCTGCTTTCTAGACAGCTGGTTGCGGAAATTTACGCCGTCTGTAACTATCCCTACGGCAGCCGAGCCGCTTGAAGACATCGCAACTATTAACTACAGGTTGCAGTTGCCAACGTTTGTAGATAAACGTTGCTAGCGACTGCATTCTCGCATTCCCACGCATCACTCGGAACAGAAAGGCGCTAGTTTCGGTTTGAAGTCGGTACCTTTTCTATAACATAGATGGCGACAGCATCAGTCTTCTGCACTCGGTGCATTTGGCGAGTTCGTTTGAGTCCAGTTTTCCGTGCAACACTCAGTGAGTGCGATGCATTCTGGGAGAGAACTCGAACGGTGCCAGTGTGTGTGAAACGAACTCGCTATAAACCAGTTACTTGAAGGCAGGCGCGAGTTGGGACGCCGCGACGACAGCGACACTTGCTTTCGCACGTGCTTTTTGCCGGTACTTCCCGTGCCAACCGCCAGGGTCGCGATATCCGACAGCGTGACACTCCGGCTTTTCTGACGTCATTGGTTTCCACATCGGGACAACTATTGGTGTATGGGCGGGACAGGACGCTAAACGCACCAGTCGGAGATGCCTTTTGTTGCAAGTCGTGTTGCAAGTTGCGCCAGGGAACGGTGACACGATAGCAAGGTAGAACAAGAGGTTTAATATGGCGATCGGCTCAAAGCCGGGTACGTTCTAGCCACGGGCGCAAGGCACGAGTTCATGCGCACGAGCCGCGGAGCTCTATCTGCTCGGCTGCTCAGTGTAGCGCTATCCAGCACATTTGAGCCACCATGTCGCAAAATGGCGCCTTTTGTGTCCGGTGGTGCCTCTTTCTACATTTTGCCGTGCATCGAGGTACCATTGGCCTGAGTATTCGCTGGGGAAATACCGTGTCCTTACAAATACCAGCAGGACTAGAACTAACACACGCGGTCCAACACCTCACCCAATCGCGTCTACAGCTCGAGCATTCGTTCTGCTAGTGCGCTGGCGGAAACGGCCCTCGAAACCACCTCCCTCTGGTGCAGAATTGAAAAGTACCTAGGTACAAGTAACTGGAAATCGGTATCTAGGTACATTTGTTGTCCCCGAGGTACAAATCTAGGCAATTTCATTTCTCGGTATCTGCATATGTATGTTAGGTACATTTTCCAGTAACTTGTAACTAAGTGAAGTTACTTTTTACAGGTACTTTTCTATTCACATAGTCGAAATGGTAGAAACTATAAATCTTGAATCACCGAACACTACCATGTTCCGTGATTAACGTTGAGTTGGGTACGACCTGGGAGGCACTGGGGACTTGATCGAACGACGTTTTAGCGAACAGAGCCCCGCCCATGAGGTTTAATCGAACTACACTTTAGCGAATGGCGGTGTTCGTTTGAGCGAACGGTGAATTTGCGATGCCGTTCTAGCGACACCAATTTATCGAATCGCTTCGAAACTCCGTTTAGGAAAAATAGCGACCTGCTTCCTTCATCTCAAACCGAAATCGACTTCTATGCGCGTTTGAAGCTCCTCTGACGAGAGGAGAAAACTTGAAAGATGTGCGAAGTTTCTGTTGCCTGTATCTTGTCCTGGTGGAACCACTTTTGCCATAAATACAATATAAAATATAATTGAAAAAAGAAATTATAATTACAATCGTAAAGAAATGTAACATCGCGTATATAATACAGTTTCTACTCAATAAATCGGGTTCAGATTTTGCAGTTATCAAAACGAAAGTTGCGAAAGAAAAAAAGAAAAAGCTTATTTTTCTCCCGACTAACGAAAAAAAACAAAAACAAAAAAAAACAACGAGGATGCTTAAAGCTTTTTGCTATTCGTCGCGAAGGTTAGATGGATATGCACTCGACTCATGTGTTTCTTCATGCGGCCGACGTCTTCTGGGCCCGTCGACGTCAGAACCGGCTCAGGGGGCAAGAACGCCAACAGGCGAGTTTGGGCGGTTTGAGCCTGACAAGGTAAACAGTGGAAACTGTGGCCTCGGTTAACCAATTGGAGCGTGGGGATAAGGCACATGAGGACTCAACTCCGATGTGGACATCGCATTGGCACCAATAAAGCACATTTATCGAACTGGTTTTTGTGTGTATCCTTAGTATAAAAAGCTTTACTTCTTATATATTCTGACGAATTCGGGGAAAATAAATTGGGCAAAATTTGGGGATAAGGCACGTGAGGACTCAACTCCGATATGGACATCGCATTGGCACCAATAAAGCACATTTATGCAACTCGTTTTTGTGTGCATCGAGAATTCTTGATATAAAAATGTTTACTTCCAATATATTCTGACAAATTTGGGGAAAATAAATAAAGTATCTTTGAAGTAACTGTACCTCTACCTAGCTACGTTTTTAACCGAGTACCTAGGTACTTTTTCGTATGAGTAACTGTAACTCTACCTTAGGTACATTTTTGAAGTAACTTTAACAACCCTGCTCTGGTGGTGCTTAGGTCACCAAATAATCTGCGGTTCGAGTTCCACTCTGCACAAAGAACCAAAATGGCGGCACCCACAAGGAAATCGGGGATTGGAGTAATCCCCGATTTTCTTGTGGGTGCCGCCATTTTGGTTCTTTCTGCAGAGTGGAGGCAAGCTGAGCCTAGTTCACGAACTTTCGCAACCGCTACTAGATGGCGTGAACTTGTCAAAAGGGTTTATTGTGATCGTTACGATTCACAAACACGACTTCCTGAGCTTAAGGTGCAACCCCGCCCTTGGGTAGTGTGATTCTGTACCAACAGAGGGCGGTGGGATCGTCATCCAGGCCTGTACATCAATGCGAGAAACCGTGTGTGGTGGCGCTTCGATACAGTGGGATATTTTTCTATAACCTGCATTTGACATCCCTGGTCCTTCGCTTGTTTTTATCTGCACGAGCTTTCTTCGGAACGCGCACGGCTGCGCCAATTCTCGTGCAAGGAGTCGAGTGGCCTACTCTCCGAGCTCACGTCTCCTGCAAATGTGGGCAGAACAAAACGCGAAAATCGTCCTGAGCCAAATGGCGAGACACATGCACAACAAACAACCGTCGCGTTGAAAAATATAAAATTGCCGGTGCGCCGTTAGCATTCCGCGGAGATTTCGGAGGTCAATTAGACATATTTCAATTATACCACCGGCCGGCCCTTTGGTCGTGCATGTGTTTGGCTCTTTGTGGAATTTCCTGGAAAACGTGATGACGTGATAGACTTGGGTTTCCAAAGTTCTAGCTTGAGGAATCAAATAGCTCAAAAATCAAAACAAATAAACATTTTTTTTCTTTTTTTGGGGGGGGTCAGGTGTCCCACTTAGGTAGCTGGGCGTTTATTTTGACCAAAATCCACGAAACTTAAAAACACAAAAAATGCCACTGAGGTTTGTATACTGAGTTTGGCAAACCCAAAGTAGGACTGGTACGGGAGTTATAAAAAAAATGCTAAGGTTAAAAATTAAGTCGCAGCAATAAATGATAAAAATTGATTTTAATACGAGTTCAGTGATGAAGGCAGTAACTGGGCAGGCAAAGATTCTGTGTCTGTAGATAGCTTTTGCACAGAGTTTAAGCAATGTACCGGTCTTAATTTGGTGATTTATGCGTGCAAGTAGCGGTGCGCAGAAATTAAAAGGATGCAAACGGGTAGAGTCTGACGTTGCATAAAACATAGTTTAAGCACCCACATGGTACGCTGATTAAGACTAAAACAGCCCTACATTTTACACCAGTGTTGAGCGTGTTTAAGGGTGCAT